TATATAGTACAGGGTCTCACCACCCAGCTCAGACTCATAGTGATACTCCCATTTTCAGCCTCTCCAGCACTGGAATTACCAGCATGTGCCATCATACCCAGTCTTGGTGGCTGGCTCAGCACACCCCAGGGTGGGGCCAGTGCAGTATATGGTACCTGAGGTCAAGCCCTACCTCCTGCACTTGCCTAAGCATGTTCTTAATCCACTGAGCTATCTCGCCAGCCCTTTAATTTTTTATTTTGAGACAGGGTCTCACTAAATCATTAGGCTGCCCTGGTTGCACTTAAACTTGGAAGTATTCCTGCCTCAGTCTCCCAGAGTGCTAGAATTACAGCATGAGACATCACACTTTGCTGTAATTACCATATTTTATCTTTCCCACAAATAACTGCTAAAGTGTTCTGTATCTTCCTTTCACTAAACACTATAAAGTTAACAAGAAAGCAAATATTCTCCTAATTTGTTACCTAATCCTAGCTGAAGCTATTTTCTCTTCTCCCTAGAATAGTGATGTTAAATGTAAGAAAACTGAAGATATAAAGAAAAATTTGCAAAGAAATTTTCCAAGAACCAGAACTGGGACCAGCAATTTTGTACTTGCAATTTCATATTTCTAGATCTCCAAATATAAATGGTCTTACAAAGTCACAGTCTGCTCTTGAGTGGCACACATTGTTCCTTAGGAATACTGTTCCATTACCTCCACACATATATTAGATACGAGGTTGAATTTACAGTCACAGTTTGACACTGGACTCTCTAAAACTTGAACTTAGTTCTTGGTGCATTTTGATATGAAAATTTTGTCCCAGTAGCTGCTGTTTGGTACACCATGCAAGCTGTAACTTACCAATGTTGACTGCCTGCTGACTCACCACACTTTTCAACTAAAACACTGTTGTGATACTAATTTTACCTCCACCAAATCAACCAAGGTACCACTATATACAGGTAACAATGCAATGGGCCTAACTAATGCTCATCATGCTGAGTGTTACTACTACACTACAGGCTATTTCATTCTTCCTCTATCACTATCCTTTTTTCACCGACATATCCTTCTCCTTTTCTCTTTGCCTCTTCTGCTGTTTCTGTACCAGTCACTGTTGGTGTCAGTCCAGTAGCCTTTGTCAACCATGGTGTGGGCTTCAGAGTCCATCCTTGTCAGAACAATGGAACCTGAGTGGAGGTCAGCGGGATGCATCTGTGAAAGGTTTTGCTCTAATAAACTTGAGATTCACCTGAGAAAGTAATGCCTTTTCCATGTTGGGCATGGTCTTGTCTGCAGATGACATCAACTCCTACACCCATCTTCCAACTGTAACAGAAGAAATCACTAATACTAAGGATAGTTGAGTACAAAACTAAAAAACATTCAGGTCCTCCGAAGCCAATCTAGAACTGCCCAACTCTTGAGTATGCATCACGTGAAATAAAAAATGTCTTTATCATTTAAACCACTTGTAGTCGATACTCTTACAGTCAAAAACATCCCAATATAATTCCTTGCTCTCTGGTGCATGGTGTTTGTACATATTCTCCTCTCTTCCTTCACTCACAGAGGGTTCGTGAAGGGCTTACTATGTGTTAGAGACCTGACTAACCTTGGGGAAGCACAGTACAGTAAAAGATTGTTCTTTCTAGAAGACCCTACACAGCGTGAATGTATGAACAGACCACACTATAGGCACAGCAGAGCTAACAGTCAAGTGAGTGCAGAGCTAAGAGTCAAGAATGTGGTACATTCAGGGGGAAAAAGTGTATTGAAGCGTCACTTCAGGAAGTGCTCCCCACAATGCTCTCCTTCTCGTTTTCCTAACTTTTCTACCTCTCTCAAAGCAATAGGAACCAAAACACAAAATTTTCGGCATCCAAAAATTATTTCCCATAGGAGAAATCTTACAGAGATCATTTGAAACACTAATTTTGGAAGTTAATTTTTTGGTGTTCATTTAATATTAAGGATTAGTTTGTAGAGATTTAAATGCTCATAAAAGTTTAACCAAGAAAAGCAGTAAGCCAAAACATTTATCTTTAGTACTTCAAGATCTTAGCCTCGTTCAAATTTTAAATAATCCTCAGAATTAGTTTTTTAAAAAATATATTTGATATGTGACATCATCTTACACTAAAAGTAATATTTGAAAGAGGCTAAAACTA